GCAGACATGATTATGACATTTCGCCAAACGATTTGGACTTTGTATGAATTCCTCGTTTTGACATCAATTCCTTTAATAGTGTTATTGTTTTCATCAATTGATTTGTTGATTGCATTCATATTCTTTGCACAATTGCTATAATTCACAGTATCAAGGAATAAATAGTTTGCTCAAAACAAATAGTACTAAAAATAAATATTTATTTCTTTTGGATATATTTTTAGTAACCGATGAAACAATAGATGAAATCATAGAATTAATTAGAGTATTGAAAACAAATATAACTATTCTTATCAAACATTCATTCATTAGTCAGAAATAAAAAAGTGTTATATGTTTCAGTAAGAAAAAAGATTTATTTTATAAAATAGTTAACGTTTACTAAATAATAATATGTTTTGAATAAGTTTATCATGTATTGTGGCTTATATTGTAATATGCCTTTTAAAATAAGAACAAACTTCACGTCCAATTAAGTCTTAAATAAAGCATTTGATTAATTTTATTAATTTTATAAACAAAATAAATAATGCTTATAAAACGTGTATACCGTATATGATTAGTACAGTATATAGTATAAAATAATTTCACTGTATAATTTTTAATAAAACTAAATTAAAAAAAGTTTCTATTGTATAATACAGTATAAGAATTTGAAACTGAAAGCCTTGAACTTAATAAACAATTTTATTTATTAATTTTGACAATATTTTGATGGAGTTTCTATAATAAATTACTGCATAACAATATTAAGAATTAGCAATGTTTTAAATATTACAGTATATTCGTATTACTGTTAAATATGATATTCTTAAAAGTATTATGAAAAAGTGTCAATAGCATTGACAACCCGTTACTAATAATGAAAAACAAAAGTTTAGGTTTAATTGACAATTCAAAACATTTCAAGTCTAAAAGTGCAAAGTTATCAAACATAAAAAGTTCTCATTTTTGACATAATTTTTACTAGTGATTGATACCCTTGCACAATATATTGTCTATGAATGTTCACTTTGATTACATAAAAAGCGATAAATGTGATATTCATTTGTATTATAACATTGAAAAAATTGATTTAATTAAATTTTGTCAAAATACAATGTATAAACCCAATATTTAGTATAATATATTATAAAATTATTTTTGTGTTAAATCAATAAAAATCAATTAGTCTCACAATTTGATTGAAAACTAATGTAAAATTTATTGTATGCAAACAATACCTAGGATAAAGTTATAGAAATTCCGAATAATATATGGCAGACAATTTTGCAACAAATATTGTTTGTTAAAAGTTACTTTATATGACAAACTCTTATATAACTCTTGAATTGATAAGTTTTTCATATTTTGTTTTCTGCTTTGAGATAAAATTATTTTAGTTTTTAATTTAAATTCAAAAAAATAATTTGAAGACAAAAAACGATGTCCTACATGAAGATGGTAGAGAGGACATCCTCTACAGTTCATTATATTCTTCATCAGTATTGGATCGACTTCCAGGATCCAAGAACTAAAGGTAACACTTGGACAATTAATTTAAACATGTTTAAACCCGTGATATATCAACTTAATATACAGTATATCAATTAAAGCATATACAATGTGTATATGAATGTGTAATTAAAGCATAATATGCTATGTGAGATTATGCTATATAACATATTATGTGAGATTAAGTCTGATGAGAAAAAACTAATATAGATAATAAATTAAATAACTTTTCACATATGCTTTAGTTGTTATACGGCATTAAGTTGATATATCACAAGTTTAAACATATTTCAATTAATTGTACAAATGTTCATACAGTACCACTTTTTGTTGTATACCTGTAAAGACTTCTTTCTGGTGGACATCTCTCCATTTACTTTTGCAATGATTATGGCATCGTATGTATTGTTTGTCAAATGGATTGGACCTAATCTCATGAAAAACAGGGAGCCCATGGACTTNCTTTTGCAATGATTATGGCATCGTATGTATTGTTTGTCAAATGGATTGGACCTAATCTCATGAAAAACAGGGAGCCCATGGACTTGCGTTTAGTGATGTTTGTCTACAATACAGCAATGGTTATAATAAACACCTACTTCTTCGTGATGGTTGTCTTGCACTGCGATTATGGCAAACGCTTTATAGATTTCAAATACCCGGATAGAAAAGATACCTCTCCCAGAGCGCTGTGGGAGCTTTCCATGGGCTGGTGGTACTTTATGACCAAATTCTTGGACCTCTTCGACACCATATTGTTTGTGTTGCGGAAGAAGGCGTCTCACATAACTTTCCTCCATCTCTATCACCACACATGTGTTCCACTGTTTGGATGGCTATTCCTGAAACACAACGCCGTTATGCCGGCCACCGGTCTCTTCGCACTCATCAACTCATTCATTCACATAATTATGTACTCGTATTACGCGTTGTCAACACTCGGGCCCAACATAAGGCCATACCTGTGGTGGAAGCGGTATATAACTCTGGCACAGTTGGCTCAGTTCGCTTTCGGCATCTTCTACGGCATTATCATGTTTTTCCTCCAAACGGGTTATCCTGTCTTCTGGACGTACTTTGGTTTGACTCAACCCTTCTTTTTCTTCTATTTATTCTATGATTTCTATAGAAATTCCTATTTATCTAAAACTAAACAAAATTAATTTCTTATATACCTTTATATAACACTTCGTGTTTTATTTTTTTATATCAAAATTACTGCATTTTGTTTGATAAAATGTTTTATTAATGGGGTTATTAATAAAAATAAAATTCATTTTTAATTATTTTTATTAAAAATTATTTATATGTTAATTATATTTTACAATGCTTAAATAATAATAACTTAAACAATAATCAACAAAGGCTTGAATTATGACTAAAGTGTTATTTACTACGATATCTTAATTTAGAAAAAAAAATCAATAAATTAAGTAAACAATAACTATAGTAAATGATTAATAAATCTAATTAATAATTGGTTTATAGAATATTCTGTTCCAAAAGACCTTCAATGCGAGACATTCCCTGCAATTCTGGTGCAAAGAACAGTTGCATTCATACAAACGCCAGTTATAAGTGCCGAAAATCCGCATACAATTTGGACACTTCAAGTAACCCGACGTCTCGTCATCGGATTGCGTGCAATATGTCTGCAGGGGTTCAATGAATAGGTCTCTACACGAATAGTCCGACACTTTTTCGGTGATTATGTATAACTAAATATAAAAGTTTTTTCTTCTCAAAGAGATTTATTAATCAATAAATCATAATTTGAGTTGAAATATTTTATTTCATATTATGGAGTAGAATATCAATTATTGAATTACTGATCAATGGTTGAATTTGGCACTATTCTTGTTATTACAATTTATTGATATAATAGAAAATAGATTCTGAATTTTAATTAAATTACAAAGAGAAGGGACAGTTATATTAATTATGAGTTTTAAGGCATTTTTGTCGTCTTTATGGGGAAAGTTTTAGTCGAAGAGTTCATTGGCCTCTTCAGCTTTCGGTCATATAATCACTTCCTTCCTTCTTCCAGACCAACACCTTATCTTCGGACTCGTGTTTCAATTTATCAAACTCTTGTTTCGGCCAATTCATGGCCTGTCTAGCCTTCTCATCGATCTCTTTAGTCTTATTCTCGACCTCTTTCTAAAAGACCATAACCTTCTCCTCCGAGTGGTGTCTCAATTGATTCAATTGTTGTTTGGCCTCAGTTTTCAATTGTTTCGCTTTATCGGCGGCACTCTTCTGGTATACCTTTGCCTTCTTCTCCAACTTGTGTCTAAACTCTTTGCTCTTAGACGGCGTCACCATTTGTACCGGTCTTATGATTTGTGTCCGGCTTTTGGTTTGTCTTTGTGGTCACCACTCTTTCCGCCGTACATTTTAATGCCGACCACTGCCAGTGCACCCATCACTATACCGCCACCCATTATGACACCTTTCTCTGACATCACAAGTAATTATTTCATCGATTGATGAAAACAATAACACTATTAAAGGAATTGATGTCAAAACGAGGAATTCATACAAAGTCCAAATCGTTTGGCGAAATGTCATAATCATGTCTGCATACGTACAAAACCCGAAAATACCGACCATAAACCCATAGTTTATGAGAGCTACCGTCAGGACCAACACCCGGATAAAGTAACCTAAGTAGCGGAGCAAACCACACAATCGTCCCAGTGTAGCCGACACCTGAGTGGGGTCTTATAAGGTAAACTTCATTAAACTAATTTTCACAAATAAGTGCTTTAATGGTTATATTAATACATTGAATTATAAGTGTATATTATATTATCAAATATCTAAACAGGCTCATTGGAGTCTCAGAGTTTTGCTAATGATTTTGCAGACACTGTCGCTGCAGAATGATATCTACGAGTGGTGTCGAGACCATAGGGTTCACCACAAGTATTCGGAGACGGACGCCGACCCCCATAACTCGCGCCGGGGTTTCTTTTTCGCACACATGGGATGGCTGTTGTGTCGCAAACACCCTGAAGTGATGGCCAAAGGAAAGACCATTGATATGTCCGATGTATGGGCCGACCCTATCGTGAGATTTCAGCGACGATTTTATGTACCGCTCGTCAGTAAACTTATTTTCCTAATAAAGTTTTAATTTTAACTCAATATCTATAATATAATTGCAGGTAATTCTCATTTGGGGAGTACTTCCCATTTCTGTTCCCATATATCTCTGGAATGAGCCATTCTTGCGGGCATTTTATGGCAACTTTTTCCGGTATGTCATGTCTCTACACCAGGCCTGGCTCGTCAACTCAGCCGCCCATCTGTTTGGCAATCGGTTTGTGAAATCAATTTAATGTCCCAATAATTATCAATATTTATATTTTATATTATATTTCAATGTTAAAGTCCATACGACAGTCAAATCCAACCGTGCGAAAACATTTTGGTTCAATACTTATCGATAGGAGAAGGCTATCATAACTATCACCACACGTTAGTGTCAATCATAATATCATATATCATATCAGATTAGTATTTGAAATCTTAAATTACACGACAATTATTTTGCGAACCCAGATATCCCTGGGATTATTCTGCATCTGAATACGGCTGGAAAGACAACTTCAATATCGCCACAGCTTTTATAGATTTGTTTGCACAGTTAGGTCTGGCATACGATCGCAAAACAGTTGCCAAACATATAATCAAGAAGAGAATGGCTAAGACTGGGGAC